TTAAAAGAAATTGATGGCTACGTCTTGTTTGTTCTAGTAGAGGTTTTACGGCGCTCGCAACTGCATAAGGCCAAATGAGCGTCCCAGATTAGAATCGAGGTGTTACAAGAGAGTAACCAAAAAAAAAAAAACCAAAAAAAAAAAAGAAAGGGGTAAAAAAGGACGATATATGTTTGATAGAAAAGCAAACCACACCAGAGCACCCGCCAACCACCCACAACCAACATCTGATCCGAAAGACGACGTGGAGTTCCCCCACAAAACCTCTCCTTGCACCACTACAGATTATAACTCACATCTCTCGCGTGTCTGACTGCGACACCGCACAAGTTTCTCTGCAGCTGCGATCTATGGGCCGACAAATGAAGAGAGCCAAGAGTACATAGAGTCCCATACATAGAACCTCTACACCCTTGCTCTAAACCTTGCTAGCTACGGCATTTCATGTAACTCCAGTAACAGTAATTCTAGTAACAGTTACAGCCACGGCGTTTCATGTAACTGTAGTAACAGTAAGTCTAGTAACAACTACGGCGTTTCATGTAACTGTAGTAACAGTAAGTCTAGTAACAACTACGGCGTTTCATTTAACTCTAGTAACAGCCACGGCGTTTCATGTATATCTAGTAACAGCTACATTGTTTCATGTAACTAGTAACAGTAACTCTTGTAACAGTAACTGTAGTAACAGCTACGGCGTTTCATGTAACTCTAGTAGCAGCTCTACGGCGTTTCATGTAACTAGTAACAATAACTGTAGTTAGTAACAGTAACTGTAATAACAGCTTCACCGTTTCGTGTAACAAGTAACAATTACATCGTTTCACGTAACTCTAGTAACACACACCAAATAAATCGTTTCATGTAACTAGTAACACACACCAAATACATACACAAGAACACACACACACACACACACACACACACACACACACACACACACACACACACCATCATAATTACTTAAAAAAGTTTAAGACTGAACGAACAAACGAAGATACACACACCCATATACGCTTGAACACTGACTCGCCGGCGTGAGGAGCAGCAGGAGCAGGGGGAGGAGGGAGAGGGAGAGGAGGGACAGGAGGGAGATGCAGTCTCCTGTCTGCTTCAGCAAAGCATCTCCTTTGTGCTGGCACAAATGCTCCCCGTCCCTGCTGCTGCTGCCCGAGGAAGTCCATCATGTCCCTGGCTGTCAGGTTGATGACAAAGAAGTTGAAGGGCTGTGGGAGAAGAAAAAGAAAAATTATTATTATTATTATTATTATTATTATTATTATTATTATTATAGTTATATTAATAATAATAATAATAATAATAATTATTATTATTATTATTGTTATTATTATTATTATTATCATTATTATTATTACTATGACTATGAATACTATTATGATTATGATTATTATTATTACTATTATATTATTACTATTATTATTATTATTATCATTATCATTATCATTATTATTTAAATTATGTGTTTTTACATCTCCATCTAAATAATCTATAATATCATTTAGAAGCGGACTTCCTATCTGAATAAAAATGGGAAACAACAGGTTGCCAAGAGCCATGGGGAAGATTGGAACATTAATCTTGTGTCAGATGCGCTGCCCATCTGACCACCTGGAATTTACCAGACTTTGGACAGACCTGAAGGAACTAGTTTAAAAGCACTGATTCGAAGAAATTGTTCTCCGTCGTTGGTCCTAACAGAATTCTCCATTTTTTATCTTTAATGTAAAAATACGGATAATACTGTTATACAAAACGATAAAAATGTCTGTTGTTACTATTGGATTTTGACCACGAATTCTCAAGTTCAACCATACAGTAAACTACGTTGGAGTCCCTCACGTTCCTGTGACCTTAATGCAGTTGCAGTAGCAGTAAATCTCTTACCTCTAAAAGAAACAAGAAAACCAAAAAAAGAGGGAATGAAAACAATATAAAAAAAGAAAACAAAAGAAAACAAAATCCAAACCATTTCCATGAAAACAAAAAACTTACCCCATTAGGTGGTGGAGCGTGTGGATGCCAGGCAGCTGGTGCCGCAATGAGCACGGGAAACATCCCTGGTATATTTCTTCCTGGCCAGACAGGGGGAGCGTAGTCGGCACCTGGAGGTGCGTGGTCTACTGCAATAGGAAGATGACGGACAGGCAGAGGAAGATGATTGACAGGCAGAGGAAAGGGAAGAAGAGGCAGATGACCTGCAACAGGTGCAGGATTGACAGGCAGAGGAAAGGGAAGAAGAGGCAGATCACCTGCAACAGGTGCAGGATTGACAGGCAGAGGAAAGGGAAGAAGAGGCAGATCACCTGCAACAGGTGCAGGATCGATAGGAAGGTCACCTGCAACAGGTGCAGGATTGACCGGCAGAGGAAAGGGAAGAAGAGGCAGATGACCTGCGACAGGTGCAGGATTGACAGGCAGAGGAAAGGGAAGAAGAGGCAGATCACCTGCACCAGGTGCAGGATCGACAGGCAGAGGAAAGGGAAGAAGAGGCAGATCACCTGCACCAGGTGCAGGATCGACAGGAAGGTCACCTGCACCAGGTGCAGGATCGACAGGAAGGTCACCTGCACCAGGTGCAGGATCGACAGGTAAAGGTAAGGCAGCAGGTACAGGAAGAACAGGAAGAGGTGCAGGGCCGACCACGACCTCCAGGGCCGCTACCTCCTGTGCGGGAGCAGGGAGCTCATCTTGTCGCCCTGAAAAAGAAAAACACACGGTGCGTGAGTGAAACTCTCTTCACAACCCTGCATCTTCTGGTGGCTTTTTGCTTCACCACGTTTTGCTGTAACTATTTTACGAGGTACTTTTTTTTCGTAAGAGCTTTTAGTTGTAGTTTTAGTAAGTTTTACGGCACTTGCAACACAATAAGGTCATATAAGTGCCGAAAATTAGATGTTACAGGAGAGTAAAAAACATGAAAAGGAGGAGATCAGGACGATAGATGTTCGATAGGAAAGAAGAAGCAAACCACACCTACCAAAGTACCCGCCAACCACCCACTTCATAAGCGTTTTACGGCACTTGCTTCACAATAAAGTCATAAAAGTTCCGACGATTAGAGGTTTTGATTGATTGAGTAGGTGTTTTACGGCACTCTCGACCCAATGAAGATTATTTTGTTTATTTTTTAAATAGTAGAGGGATTTACGGCGCTCGCAACTGCATTAGGTCATATGAGCGCCAAGGGTTCGGTGTCAACAGAGAAGTCTTTATATGGAATCAGACTTACTCTGCTCACCTCTCTAGCTTCAACAGCACAAGGTCTGCCTCAACTATCAAGGCACCCCGGAAGTAGCAGGTCTCAAAAGAGTGACAAAAATACAAAAGAAGTAGAGGAAAATAACAATAGCAAGGATTAGGAAAGAAAAAGCAGCAGTTCCCTGTTGTAGATCAGGCACAGTTATGAGCGTGACAATTCTACTGTGCTTGAACTAGAAATATCCCCCCTTTGGGAATGGCCTAAAGACACTACAGTCAGTGGCACTGACACTCTCATTCTCACTCTCATTCTCACTCTCATTCTCACTCTCATTCTCACTCTCATTCTCATTCTCACTCTCATTCTCACATTCATTCTCACTCTCATTCTCACTCTCATTCTCACTCTCATTCTCACTCTCAATCTCACTCTCATTCACACTCTCATTCACACTCTCAATCTCACTCTCATTCACACTCTCAATCTCACTCTCATTCTCACTCTCATTCTCACTCTCACTCTCACTCTCACTCTCACTCTCATTCTCACTCTCATTTTCACTCTCATTCTCTCACTCTCTCTCTCGCTTTCTCACGCTTCGCTCTCTCTTTCTCTCACTTATGCGTGCGAGCGCGTGCATACACACACACACACACACACACACACACACACACACACACACACACACACACACAAGCATATACACACACAAGCACATACACACACGATGCTAATCAATCAGAAATGTAGCCAACAATTTGAAATTTATATTTCGCTGATAAAGCCAAATGAGAATATGAAAGTCTTACTGTGCTGCCTGCAGTAAGGCTGCGACAGACGCCGCCTCCGTTTGCACAGTCGACGGCGTCCGCTGACCAGTGTAAGTTCCTGGCATTGTCCAAGCTGAAAACAGATTTAAAGAACATTTTGGTTAGTTATAGTAGAGGTTTTACGGCGCTCGAAACTGCATAAGGTCATATGAGCGCCAGAAGATTAGGGGTGTTACAAGAGAGTAACAAACATAAAAGAAGAGGAGACAAGGGCTATAGATGTTTGATTGGAAAGAAGCAAACCACACCGGAGCACCCGCCAACCACCCACTAATAATATTTAAGAACAGATCCTAACTAATCAGCTTCTATTACAAAAAAGGCGAAATGAGAATGACAGTATTATGTTGGAAAATGGAAGGCTCGCACCTGCCTAAGGTCATATGAGCGCGCGAAACAAGGTTTTTTCTCAACGGTTCATTTCTCGGCTTGATACTGGTCAATATTTCTATTAAAAATTTTTTAAACGCAAAAAATCGAGTGTAAATAGGCTTTAGATTTAAATTTAAATTTAAAACAACTTTCTAAATAACACTTAGATTCGAACAATGTATTTCAAAACTTTAATAAAATCTAAATTAAATCCCATTAAATTCGGAATATCAGGTATACAATGTTGGAAGTAAAAAGCGGAAATTATATATACATGTAGATATCTGAATAAAAATGGGAAACAACAGGTTACCAAGATCCATTGGGAAGATTGGAACATTTACTTTGTGTCAGATGCGATGCCCATCTGGTGACCTGGAATTTGCCAGACTTTGGGGAGACCTGAAGGAATTACTTTTTTACGCACTGATTTGAAGAATTTGTTCTCCTTCATTGATCCTAACAGAGGTCTCAATGTTTGGTCTTTACTCTAAAAATACGACCTTAACGCAGTTGTAGGCGCTGTTTACCTCTAAAACAAAAGAAAACCAAGAAAGAGGGGGGAAAAAACATTTTAAAAAGAACACAAAGAAAAAAGAATAAATACAGAATCAAAAAAACTTTACAAATCCCACAACAACAACAAAAACTTACGTCGTTCGCTGCCAGTGGTTGATCAGCCTGCAACACCGGCATTGCAAGCTCAGGACGGTCAGGGTGTAAGTCCACTTGCATAGGATCCGCTTGCAACACCGGCATTGCAGGACCCGCCTGTCCCACAGGCATTGCAGGATCCGCCTGATCCGCCTGTCCCACAGGCATTGCAGGAAGCATAGGGGGCTGGTCTCGGCCAGCTTCAGGCCGACCTGCAAAAGAAAAACATACTGTGCGTGAGTGAAGCTCTTTACAACCCTGCATCTTCTGGCTGCTTTTTGTTTCACGACGTTTTGCTGTAGCTATTTTACGCGGTACTTTGGTCACTTAACCCTACCCGTACGCCCTGGGGTCATTTTATACCCCCGAGGTTGTTTTCTTCATATTTTGGAATACTTTTAGTATGAAGATCTCTTTGGAACTTTCAGTTAGTTCAGTATGGGGTTTTACGACGCTCGTAACTGCATAAGGTCATATGAGCGCGCGAAACACAAGTTAGTTTTATTCGCAGTTCACTGTACGGCTGTAATTCGGTTTAGATATATATTTTCAATTTAAAACAACTTTTATAAATAACATAAAAATTTAAATAATTCAATTTGCTCAACAGTTTCCCATAAAGGCCAATGGCCTTCATAAAATTCAAAATTTTGTTGGAATCAACGACGGAAAAAATGTCTTGCAATTCTTTACATTTAAAGTATTTCCTTCGGATCTCTCCGAAGTCTAGACATTAGGTTAAAATGTGTCTAATGCTTCTCATCTCCCTGAAGGAGGTATTCGTGAGTTAGGGGCGTGTGTCCGATTCGTAATCGAGTAAAAACGACTTCGTCTCTTCTGGAGAGGTCCGAAGGATTTCGCGGTCCTAGTTTGGGTTTAATATTGTGGAGTTTGTTACCCGTCTGTTTTTTTCCAGTGGCTCTCCCACAGACTGGAGGTGTACTTTTTGACTTTAATTTTAAAGTCAGTCTGCGGTTTGTTTGTTTGGGTAGATGTTTTACGGCACTATCGACACAATTTTGGTCATTTAAGCGCCATCAGGTTTCACCGCTACAAAATCAGACGTGTTTTTAATAAGAGTCTTTCGGAGCTCGCAACCGCAAACGATCACACTATTTCTATTATGCTAAAAAGACGAACAAACATTTATAATTTTTTTTTGTAAATATGGAAAAGGCTTATTTAAATTTGTATATACAATAAAAATTTCAGTGTATGTATATATACACCGTATGTATATATACACCGATAACGATAACTATATGTTTTCATATTCTATTAAATAGTCCAATTCCTTTTATATAACTTAAAATTCTTCTAGGTTCTATGATGTCAAAAAGGGTCTTAATATCTTTACATTTAAAATATTTCTCACGGACATAATTAAAATCGACACATTCCATTAGGATGTGCCGAGCTGTGAAATTTGTGTGGCACGCCACGCAAAAGGAGCTTCCTCTCCTTCGAGCAAATGTTTATGCGTGACGTGCGTGTGTCCTATCTTTAGTCAGGTAAAAATTACTTTTTCTCTTCGTGGTAGAGATAGTGGTTTCCTGGGCATAAGTTTCTGTTGAATGTAAGGGAGTTTGTTGTGTATTTGTTGATTCCAAATTTGGGACCAGGAGGATGTGATGTGTTCTTTTACTTTCGGTTTCATGTCAGAGAAAGAGATTTTACTATTTTTGTTTTCAGGTAGTTTTAGAGATTCTTTGGCAAATTGGTCAACGGCTTCGTTGCCATCAATGCCTACATGGCTTGGAAGCCAAGCTATTGTAATCGTTTTTCCAGACTGATGTAGAAAATACAGTTTAATGATAAGTTTCAAAATTCTGTTGTCGGAGGTGTCAGAGCGCTCAAAAGATTTCAGACAAGAGAGAGAGTCTGAAAGGATTAGGAAGGTAGACTTGGTTGATTGATCTATAATATTTAGGGCCATTTCAAGAGCTGTAGCCTCAGCAGTGTAGACTGAAGCTTCTGGGTGGAGTTTCCTTAAGCTTAAGCTGTGTGGCGATGCAAGGGCAGCAGCTCCTACTGAGGAGTCATTTTTGGATCCGTCTGTAAAGAGTTTCTCTGCTTCAGGGTATATTTATTAGCTGTTTGCAGGGGCGAAGGCTGACTTGTTTGACAGGGTAATCAAAGTGAAACGGTATCAGATATGGCCTGTAGATATCACACAAGATTCTTACTCGAGGCGGCGACTCTGAGTTGTGAATGAAAACAAATCCGGAATTCATATTGTATGTTCAACCGCCAAAATAATCGGGAAAGTATCTTATTAAATATCAGTTCCAACTAAAATTAAATTTAACTTTAGATGTGAATACATAAACACAAAGCAAAGAAACAGAGATGTCAGTACTAGATCTATATGTTATAGATCTACCAGTAAGTCTAACTCTTTGGTAGAACATGACAATTATCATTTTTTAAATTTCACATTTGGCTGTTTTTGTTAGCCTTTCGCGGCTAGGAGCTGGTGTCATAATCGAGGTCACGATCTGATTATAGGACGGTTAAAAAGTCGAGGAAAAAAAAACAAGCACACGCAGCAGTCAAGAGATTATTAGGAGTTAGTTCCCCTCACATTTGTGAGGTAGACTCGACCAGCGTTAGTTAGCATACATAATCAGGGCTTGAGATTGATTTTAACTGTGGCCCCAAAGGGGTGAACAGGGTATATGTGGCAATGAAACAGCTTGGACTGCTATGTACATGTTCCCTTCAAATCTATTGGTAGACTCTTCCAGACTCACTTTAAGCTTACTTAATCAAAGCTTGCGACTGCTTATGGAGTGGCCCGAGAGGGGTGAGGAGGCTATTTCTGAGGCGGTGAAAACGTTTTGAATGTTAGACATACTGTTCATTGTTGATTACGAACGTCTTTTTACATTTGATTTATGAGGTTTACGTTTAAGGATGAATTTGACAGTGACAATGTTTCAAAATTAGGAAGGGAAGCAGTGATTATTTGATTATATAGACGCTTCGCCCCTGGCTGTTTGTATGAGTTTAAGTATGTAGTTTTGTCTGTAGACTTTTTGTTGTGTTTTTCAAGACTAGTATCTATGTTTGGTTTGGTTAAATGCCATGGAGGTATGCTGGACATGGTAAAGGGCTCGATTATGTCTTCAGAAAAATCAATGTCTTTGAGATCGTTCTGGATTCTTATTCCGAAAGGGCTTACTTTATTTTTTAAGGAGGATATAGTTTTTAGGTCTTCGAGAAACGGCTAAAAATTCAGGGTAAAAAATCCCAGTTTTTTAAAAGAACAGTCAAACAAAATTTAAAACAACGTTATTTACAGTGTGTCGTAAAGGCCAACGGTCTGTATAAAATCGAGAATTCTGTTGGGATCAACGACAGAGAACAGGTCTTGCAATTATTTTTTTTTTCATTTAAAATCCTTCTTTTGTTTCTCTCCAAAGTCTGGACATTCTGTTAAGATGTGTCTAGTGGTGAAATCTGAGTCGCACCCGACCCAGAACGGTTTCTCTTCTCTCTGAAGGAGGTATTTATGTGTCAGGGACGTGTGTCCGATGCGTAATCGAGTAAAAATTACTTCGTCTCTTCTGGAGAGGACCCAAGGTTTTCGTGGACCCAGTGTGGGCATAATGTTGTGAAGTTTTGTTTATCTGTTTCTTCCATTGTGTCTCCCACAGACTGGAGATGCAGTTTTTTAAACTTCATTTCTAAAGTCAGTCAGTGGGAGAGTGTTTGTCGTTGATCCCAACAGAAGGGACAAGGATTCTTTCGCAAGGAGGTCCACTTGCTCGTTTCCTCGGATGCCCACATGGCCTGTGTGCATGTGCCTGTGCGCGTGTGCGTATGCGTGCGTGTGTGTGTGCCCTGGCTTTTCAGTGTTTAAAGCCTGTGTTATTTGTACTTAACAGTGTGTGTGTGCATGTGTGTGAGTGTGCATTTGTTTGTGTGAATGCGTGTGTGTGTATGTGTGTGTATGTGTGTATATATATGTGTGTGTGTGTGTGTGTGTGTGTGTGTGTGTGTGTGTGCATGTGTGTGCGTGTGTGTATGTGTGTTTGCATGCGTGTGCGTGTGTGTGTATGTGTGTGTATGTGTGTGTATATGTGTGTGCGTGTGTGTGCGAGTGTGTGCGTGTGTGTGCGAGTGTGTGTATGTGTGTGTATGTGTGTGTGTGTGTA